ATGCTTTATTGGAAGCAGGACCTAATTTTGGGTCTGAATAATTGTCTGAAGAGTGCTATTTATATTCTGAGAATGTGGATTTGGGGCTTTGTCGCCATACATTTATCTTTTTAACATTCTCTCAGGCTGCAGGGGGAGGGTCACACTTTGTGGCTGCCATCCACTGAGCCCGTGTGGTGTATGTCTGCATGGTGAGAGGAGAGGCAGGTGGGCAGGTGGATTTGCAGTGGCTTGGTGCTCAGCACTGAAAGCACCTTGCTTATTTAGTTAGTTCTCTGTGTTTAAGAAAGTGTATTTTTACATAAACAAGGAACTTAACCCCTGAAATGGGATATGGGTGGGTCAATAAAGACCTCACCATAGTAGCACATTCCTGGCTTTTGAATTTTTTTTGCAAAGCTTGTTCACCTTCACCACCATAGAACCCAGTTTACCATTTTCCCAGTGCAAGATTAGGCAGCTGGAATTTTGCACTTCATCTCCAGTCATACCTTGCATATTTAAGATGAGCTGCAACAGTTCTCTTGATTCGCTGCTGGCCTCATTTTTCTTTACTAGATGTCCAAGCCAGGGAGTAGCATTCCCTCAGAAACTGATAAGCATCTCAGTCTCGCTTATGGTCTGCAAACTCACTTCAGCCCCTGTCAGCTGAACAGTAAATCTTTTAAGAAGGTAAATCTATGTCCAGGTGCTTTCTTCATATCCATTTGCCCAGTGAAACTTGTCCTGGATGTTAAGCACAAAAGCAGATTGTTTTAGAAACTTGCCACAGCAAAAACTGACTGTCAGCTCTCAATGATGGATGGAGTGTCCACTTTTTGTTAGATTTAAGGAATGTTGTTGCCTTCCCCATTCTAATTGTCTTAGAAAAAAATAATTTGTTAAGGTTTGGAGTTGACCTATGATAAATTTAAATCTTAGAAAAAGGTGCTGATTCCCATTCATACTTTTACAGAATGCACTTTGAAACTTATTGCATCATATTCCTGCAGAAAACTGTGCAGAGTCACCATACATGAACTGGCCTTTGTCTTCAGAATTACCTACTAAATTTCTTTCCTTCTGGACCATGTCTGCTGTATGCTAATTTTGTGTAAAGAGAGTTTGTCAGAAATAGCGTTGGTTGTTCCTCATGTGTTAACTTTCTAATTCATTTTGAAACATTGCACCTTGCCCTAGTCAATCTCAGAAAAGAAGGCAATAATGAAATGGGAGAAGGATGTTGAGAATGTTGGCTGCAACTTTGGACTATTTTCTGTTGTTCTTGGTAAGCACCACAGACTACGTGATTTATAAAGAATAGAACTCTAGAATCCAGGATGTTCAGGAACATGGTGCCACAGTGGTGAGGGGCTTCTTGCTGCATTAAAACATAGTGGAGGGCATCACATGGCCAAACAGAGTGTGCATAGTAGCTCACTAGCATCTCTCTTCATCTCTCCAGTCTCCCCTCCAACACCCCCCCCCAACACTGCTGGAGCTTGAACACTGAGCTACACCCTCAGCCTTTTTTTCATCTTGAGACAGGATCTCATTAAATTTCCCAGGCTTGGTTTGAACTTCTAATTCTTCTACCTCTGTCTCCCAAAGTACTGAGATTACATGCATGTGGCATCATGCCCAGCCCTTCCTCTTCTTATAAAGCCACGAATGCATTCATGGAAGCCCTACCTTCACAATTTCATCTATTCCCAGTTTGCCCCCAAAGTCACCACTTCTAAATACCATTAACATATAAATTTGGGAATTAAATTTTCAACATATGAACTTTTGAGTGGATTCACTGAAAACAGTCTCTGTGTTGAGGCCTTGTCTCTTATTCAACTTACTTCCATCTACTACCACTTCTTTTCTTACAACATTTATTCACATATCACATCTGAGTGTTAGCACAGGGCCTAACACCACTCAGACCCACTCCCTGTGGACTATTGGACATTTCAGTGAGATCATATGTGGTCATTACACTTATAAGAGGTCAGAGCAACAGCAATAAATGCCCACTCACTGTTTGCTGAAGAATAGTGGCCTCATGTGGAAGAATCTGTCCAACCCTTTTAATGGGAGCTGTGCACCCAAAAGGGGGGTGGAAATGTCT